GGGCCTGGCTTTGATGTGTTTATGTAGACGGACACCTGCAACAGGACACAGAATGGACTCAAGTATAGCTATTTCAAGGGTGGGGGGCATAATGGATATTTGCAGTTTTATTTCTTTCTTATCATACCTCCATGCTGGACAAAATGGCCAAAATCCTAATAAAACATATAATACAGCTGATAACCGAATTTGACAAACATTTTTTGTAACAGGGTATGCTTAAGCAAAACATATTCATGAAAAAAACAGCTGAAATTGGTGCTTCAAGAATTTCAGTGCAAATTCACAAATACATACTCTTCATTGACTGAAGTTAATAGGACAGGGTTAATGCAGTGTTTCCCAATTCAGTCTTCGGACACCCACGTTTGGTCCATGTTTTTGTTCCCTCTCAGGTCCCGGTCAAACAGTCCACATTTTTGCTCCTAGCTGTGGGTCCCTCAGAACCGGATTGGGAAACACTGGGTTAGTGGACTCCCCACTCCGCTACACACCTCATTGCTCCAGTAAAACAGTCCCTGCTTCACAGGTTTTAAATAGACCCTCTTAAATTTCTCAACGACCATCCTCCACCGCTGTGTAGCAGCCCTGGGCCCCCTCTTTATCGCTGATTATCAACCATAGACTCGTATAAGAGCTGCATGACAGCTCAATGGGTAGCACAGTTGTCACACACCTCCAAAGTTGTGTGATTCATTCCTGTCCCCCAGGTCTGTGCACGGAGTTTGCATATATTCCCTGTGTTTGCAGGCTTTCCCTGTGAATACTCAGGTTCCCCCCAGGTCTAAATATGCAGTTACGTAAATTGATGACTCTAAACTGCCATGGTGTGTGAATGTGTGTGTGACACTGTGCTTAAGGTTGATTGATGCCCCGTCTAAGGTGTCCCCTGCCCTGTGTCCTGTGCTTCCCGGCACAGGCTCCAGGCTGATGGTAACCCAGTGCTGGATAAATGGTTATGAAAAATGGATAGATGGCAAATCGGTTATGTTCATCAATCATCATATCTACTAATTCAGCATAATATCACTCTTCATTTGTTGGATTTGATTTTGCCCATGACCCTGTACCAGATAAGTGGTTATATGATGGCTGAATAGCTTTTGTATTGCAGTTTCATGTCAATTTATTTAGCAGACAAATCTGTCCAAAGTTGCATCAATTTTTGAGAAAGCAGGGTCAGACAGTCCCTGGAGCATTTGGGGGTTAAGGGCCTCCTTCAGGGGCCCCAATGATAAAATCACTCTGCTGATGCTGGGATTAGAAACAGCAGCCTTATGAACACATGCACAGCGTTCTAGCCCACAGGGCTTCACGTATCATCAGGGGTGCTGGAGACTTATGGATATCATGGCAGATTCAGGGGGCCAAACAGTTTATAGGGGCCCCAAAGAAATGTAATGTCGGGGCCCAGTCAGAATGATCTACCATTGTGCAGCGCTATTCCTATTCTCGTTTAGTTGGTATCGTCGGCTGCCAGCACCCACATGAGATAAAGTTGGTAGAGATTCTGGCCCTGCAGGGCCATTCACTCGGGCTGTCATAATCCCTCCGCCATTGACAAGCTGCTGTCCCACCTAACATGAATGAAAGTCGCCCTGCAGGACCCCCCGATCCCCCCCCCGTGTGGTCCTGGACGTGGCATATGTGTGCAACAGCTGCAGAGGGATGTCGCTAAGCGTCTCTTCTGCCATTCTGGGACCAAAGCTGAGACTCCCGTTCGCAATCTGCCCTAATCACAGGACGCATGTTCCTAGCAGGGCCTGGGGCTGGCGGAGGGACCGTCTGCACAGTCGGGCCGTCCTACATGCATGACACCAGGACATATGTTTGCGTGCATAAGAACTCACACTCACTCATTCATATATTAAGTATCCAAGATCTGGTGAGATATTGCTACGTTGAAACCTTTTGAATGGATTTTACAGTCTTATGTCTTACAATTAACATATACAATGTTCTATATGTCTTATACATTTATATTTTATATCTTATTGTTTTACCAACAGAAACATATTATTTCACTATATAATCCCTGCATCACAGACCAGAGATGGCAAAAATATAAACTTTAACTTGATTTAATCTGAACATTGTATTTTCTCCACTATTAACGGGAAAACAATTACAAGCCCTGTCTATAAAGCAACACTTTTGTTTTTCTTTAAAATATTCTCCAGCTAGCCTCCATTTACGGCCTGGTGTTCCGTGTCGCCCATGCAAAAATACAGATACAGAGCACACTGGAATATTATGAACTCATATTCATAATGATCCTGAAAGTACAGCTTAACTATCCCGTCTAATTGTACTACCTATCTGACTAGGATTAGCCTAGCCTGCACATATGCTCTTTGTGTGAACAGGCCCCTTGCCGTGTTCCAGAGAGCCATCTTGGACACCACCTGGGCCTTAGCATATTAGCATAGCTTTTCCGGAAAACAAAGTCAGCTTTAACTCTATTATTAAAACATTATCTACATTCACAGTAGCAGAAATAGAGGTTTTATAATGTATATTACACTTATTACCAAACTGATACATTTGGAAACTGCAGAACATTAAAAAGAAAGAAAACAGTTTTGCTTTCCTTTGATTACTGCTGTTTTTAATTTATATCTGACAGTTATGGACAAGTTCTGCTTACCTTTTTAATGAATTACATGTCAGAATCAATCAATCGTTTATATTACATTATTTAGCACTGTTTCAACCACAAGGTTTACAGAGTTCTTTACAAGCATATACATACGAAAATGTTTTAATGTTAAAGTTTATTAAAGCAGAAAATGACAAAATGTTATTTATTCCAGGTATGATTACTACAGTCTAATGTCAGTAGCGAGCGACTAATGTATCTTTGAGGCTTTAATCACTAGTACTGATGTTATCCCTGCAGAACTGGTAGCATTACTTTAATGTCCATTGGAAGAGAAACAATACTGAATGAGGTGAAATTAGTACCAAATAATAACCTGTCTGTGCTTGTGCTTTTTATATTCCTATAGTCAATGGAAACTAAATGTGTTATATTTCAATTATGTATACCCTCCAGCCTGCGGCAAATTTGGCGCGCGGGTGTGGTGAGCTACGCAACACGAGCAACATTTTAATTAATCAGCTCTGCCAAGAAGAGAATGAGTGAAACACGGCGGTGTTTATAAAGACTTTAAAAATATTTAACAGGAATAAAATTTGGTTGGGTAATAACCAAAGGAATTAACTTCGGCGTTTTATTACCTTTCCGAACCCACTTCCACCCAGTCGGGTTTGGCCGAACTAAGTTAGAGTTGTAACTCAACGAGTCCAGTGTCCTGCACATTCAGCTTCAACTAATATTAGTGGAAACAGGCTCCATAAAAAAGAAACACTGTCTCTGAGGAACATTTTATACGGGGACAGTCAGTCTCTGCATGTACTTTAATTCTTAATTTACAGACAGCGTTTTGCCACGACAGTCCAGGGAGAGAAAATATGTGTCGGGGTACCGGTGTTATGCCGAAAAAGGCATCCCTGCCGTAGAATGCATGCCTGTCTCTAAATGACCGATTGGTCGCTGTTCTGAAACGAGTTGAGCTACTTTGTCGAGTAAGGCTACCGTAGTGCTAATCAATAGCCCCAAAAACCCCGTAAAACTCTAACCTTAACCCCCAAAAAACCTCTAAAACCCTAACCGCCAAAACACCCCTAAAACCCTAAACCCCCAAAACACCCCTAAAACCCTAACCCTAACCCCTAAAAAACCCCTAACCCCCAAAAAGCCCTTAAAAGCTCAACTCGTCAGAACACCGGCATGCATTATAAGGCAGGGATGCGTTTTTCGGCATAACACCTGTTATGATGTAATAATATTAATGAATGTTTCTCAAGTACTCTGAAAAAGCACACATCTGTACGGGTTTGTTTTCGTACTTGCTCGACGCAGAAACGTGATAATTTAATTGTGACGAAACTGGTAATAAAAACGAAACCGATATATCCAGTTCACATGGTGATGCTCTAAACCTTTTTAGTATTTTAGTCTTTTAGTATTTTATATATTTTGGGAACTTCAGTTAGGCCCATTTGCCTACATATTACGGACAATTGGAGCAAATATACAATGGAAAGGCTACAGGGCGTCCAGCATGGAGGATGAGGTCGTGAACTCATGTATAGCTCACCCCCATCAAAATCTGGTGATGCGGTTTGCTTTAAAACAAAAATCAGAAACAGCCGTTTTGGCGTGTTTTCCCTTAGCACTAAACATAAAGAACACAATGACATAATTAAGCCTGCATGTTTTGAGAAAACGTACGCAGTCATTTTCAATACGTAAACAAGAAGCACAAAACTAAAGCTGTTGTTCTGTGGTTAGGAAAAAAATGTCACGTTTATTTAGAATAGAGTTTTTGCAATGACACGGCGCATAACGAACAAACGTCCGTCCAGGGATTGCGAAGCGCTCTCTCTCCCTCGCGGGAGGCTTGTCCGCTGCTTGCGGGCGCATTCCTGAGGGCGCTCCGGTTCCCGGCCCCGCTGCGGGGAAATCCACTCCGGGTTTTGCGGTTTATCACCACGTCTTGCTAGACCGCGTGCTGAGATGAGGGCAAGATTCAGCATCCCTCGCCACACACGCAGCCTTACTGCACACGAAGACTGTGCCATTTAACCCTAACTTCGCTCCCAACTTTAATTTTCTAGTAAAATTAATGGCAAGCGGTCGTAAAGTATGGTGACAAATAGGCTATCTGAGCCTTGTCTCAAATCACTATTATTATTAGTAGTATTATTATTGTTGTTGTTATTATTAATAGGAGTAGTAGTAGTAGTATTAATAATATTATTTTCTATGGCACATTTTATATGATTTCTGTTTTATGTTAAATATATGTCATTTTTTGCCCCTTTCCATACACTTTCCTACGAGACGATTGCTCGCTGTCTACAGCGCGGTGAAGTCCCATAGCCGCAGCAAGAGCTTTTTTTTTAGAATAACAAAAAGTGAACTTCCTGTTTCGGGGTGGTCCACGGAGTCTGAGAAAGAGAGAGGGAAGGAGAGAGAAAGAGAGAGGTCCTTTGCACATACTTCTTACCTCGACTTACGGGACTCGGTTAACGAATGTGGCTCGCATTTTTTTGCACTCATCGCCGGTTTTTTTCCCCCAACTCCGGGGAAAGTTTTCAAGGGAGCGGGATCCTAAGACCATAAGGCGGAGAGCGTAACTGAGGAGGATCCAGTAAGGTTGCGGGTAACCTAGCAGTCCTCTATCTGCATCTAAGCTTGGTGCCAACACGAAAAGTAAAAGGGGGCTTTATTGGAAATTCTCTAACCCCCAGCGGGACGCACGCCGCCTTTTCTCCAAAATTCTCTCCGAGAAACCTGAATTTCCTGGGATCAAGTCGAGGCCATCAACAGATGCAGAAGATAGCAACTCTCATCTGAAGGTAGGTTATGTTAACTTTTTATACTGTGGTGTGTGCACTTTTCCATACGTTTCTATGTAAATTACCTGTTCCAAGAAGTTATATGTTGTCTAAGAAAAATGTGCAATCTATAGTGTATAGGTAAGTAGTTGTACAACTTTTTAAGTACATGCTTTATGTTAGGCTATTGTCAGATTGGTGACAAATGAAGCGATGATCGTAAAGAAAGAGTATACGTGTGTTGATTAAGTGCGGTGTTTGCGCGTTGATTAGCAATACAAACATGCGTATATTATAGCGAAGTTTACAATAACACTTGTAGATTATATAAACATAGACACACACACGCACGGCAAGGCGAAAACACCTTTTATGGAAAACAAGAAACGATTATGCCTCTTGGTGTGAACTGAATGACAGGTTGGACGAATTGCTGGAAAAATCATTGCTATTATTGCACAACCAGCATAATTATTCGTACAACGCTACGAAAAGCCTCTGAGGATGATGCGGAGAAGATGCTCCCTTCAGTCAATCCTTGTTTTCTTCCACTTTTCTACTTTATAGTTGAATTTGTGGGCAGCGGCGTATAGTACAGTAGATGCACCAATTACATATCACCACCAATTTAAACCTGCAATTAAGCAAATTTTACTAATTGAAAAGCTTCATTTTATGAAAGTAATTATACATTTTACCAAGAGTGTTTGGATTATGCCGTATTTTGTTTTGCGTTCATTTATTTACAATAGTGTTAGTGAAAAGTAATATTATTTGAATTGTTTGAACAATCCACATAAATATTTTATGCTCTTATTTTTTTAACACACTGAACCTAAAACAGTGTTTTCCCCTAAGCCAATAAAATTCTTAGCTTTAAATTTTACGCAGAGTTCTAGTACATTTTAATGAGCAATCTCTGCGCTCAGCGGGATTTCCCGGGGATGGTCACATTAGGGATCCGGCCCCACGCGTGTCGAAGCTGGTAGAATTCCTCCAGAGGTCTATGGCCTGCTCCCCTAACAGCTGTTTCTTGTAACCTGAAATACTTGAGCTCCCAATATCTTCTGCAAATGTCGGTATCTGTCAGGATTCACCGGCTAACCGCTTTATCCATGCTGACGTCTGTAAAATAGTTTATTAAAAAGGTCCTAATACATTTCGCAGTAAAGAAAAGGGGGATGGGGTGTGAAAGTAACTGTTTTCCGCTCAAAAGTATGCAGTTTTGGCAAATGCATTTTAGATTAGAGATCCCCTATTTGTTTATATTGTGGCGTACAGTTTGTTCAGTACATCTGGAATTGGCTGTCAGATTCTTTGGCCGCAAACGCATAAAAGCCTACTGCTTTAGCAAATCTACAGAGCAAACAAGGGCCCCGTAACGTGATCCATTTCATGGCAATTTGAAAATACCCCTTAAATATTTTCCTAAGGAGGGATAAGCTGAAAAGCTAACCCAAACTTTACTGGTTATTAAAATCATACACTCTAGCGAAACCCAGCCATGTATATTTAATGCTTGATTGTAATAAAATATGTCTGCAGTGACAATTTCCCTTGAGTAAGAATATGTAAATAAATAAAACATCTATTTGTACAACTTTGTAAGGAACCAGCAAATGTTTTGTAAAGGTTTGTCTGGTGATAGATGTTCTTCAGCTTGTTGAGAAATGACCTGGTCCATTTAAATCTGGCCACTTTAGTTATAGGAATTAAAAGCGTGAAATTTGAAGGTGGCTGTTAATGTTGGGTATGTCTGAAGTGACGCAGTTACATGGGCATCTGCTGTGTTTTTCTTTCCCTCTTTTACCCTGCTGGTGTTTCCCAGTACGTCACACGGTCAGATGGCATGGCCTCCCTTTCATTTAATCTAGTGCAAGCGAGTGGCGTTTGAAGTGCCGGGTCGGGGATCCAAGTCACCTATCCTCACGAATATCTCTTTGAGAAAATTCATACCTAGAGCCTCCTCAGCCCCTGATTATCGTATTTTATGACCGGGGCAAATGAGCATGCCCTTACTTAATTATGTGGCCCCTTTTGTCCCCAGCCTGCTCTTCTGCATGCTCCCAGTGTCTTGCCTTTTACTCGGGGGGGGGGGGGGGGCTTGATGGTTTCTGCAGGTGTGCGATCTGCCGACTTTCTGTGTGGCAGCCCTTGGAAGTGGAGTCACGGTCCATTCCAGGTTTTCCAGGACGTCCTGGTGCCTGCATGGCATCGCATGTAAAGGAGCCCCGCTGTCCAGTGGGAATGGGTGTTCCTCTGAGAAATGAAAATATTTTGGCATCAGAAATGACACTTCTTTAATGCCTGGGCCCTGTGTTACTTTAATGTAATTCTTTATGCACTGTTCCACTGAGTGGATTCGCTAGAATGCATTTTAGATTAGGCCTAAAAGTCAGAAAGGATAGATTTTATACTAATCTTGAAGATCACAACTATGTTTTTGATCTGTGCTGGTCTTGACAGTACTTTAAAAACACCTCCAAATAATTTGCATGTTCTGAGACCGTCGGCCTTCTTTCCATTTAATGTTTTAATTGCTCTGTGAAGGAGGGTGCTCCTTCTCCAACGTGGCGTTTGTTGTACGTGACCCAAGAATTTGGTCTAAAAAGAGAAGGACCTGGAAACGCCTGAAGCCCGGCCCGTCATCTGGGCCGTGAAGAAAACTGCACAACCTTCACCGCAGTCCAACTCCAGAGGTCCTCAAAGGGAGTAAAGTCAATGTCCCATTATTTATTTTATAAAACCCAATTATGTCCAGCTTAGTTTCCCAGCCAAAGAGATGCTTCAGATGAAAAATGAGAGGCTTTTCCATGTCGGCTCTCTTCAAAGCTGTACAGTGGTCAAGTGTATGACTTTATGTATCGTCACACATCTATCCTGTCAGACATGAAGTTACAGAGCTGAGCTCGTCAACCCCTGGGAAATTACCACCAAACTTTTGAACAATGGAAAACTTTTCAAGGTGCTATGGGGACATTGTTGCATATGAGGACATTTGTTTTTTATGTCTAGATTGTCCTGTTCTTGCTTATATACTTAACTTCTGTTGGACATCTCCGGAAAACATCACCTACAGGTGATCTCACCAACCCCACGTAGGACTCTGATTCACACCTGATTTTGCTGCGTGGGTAAAATATCCCTTGTCCACAAGAAAATTCCAATACGGGGACTGTGTCTCATGGAAACTAACAGATTAATCTGAAAGCCTGCAAATCAAATATTTATCTTAGTTGCCGTAAACAAACATCTCAGGAATTGTGTATATATATATATATATTTCAGCAGTTTATGTATGAATAATATGAAATGAGAGCACATTTGAAATCTATGGGGGACATAAAACGTGTTTTGTTTGTAAGAGCTTAATAGAAAACTTTTTCTATTAACATCTCATCTCAGTATCATACTGTAGCTAATTGGGTAGCAAATACATTGGGGTGCTGTGTTTAATTATGAGGAGAATAAAATGTAATTTTTAATTTAACATCTGTATGGAGAGAAACTATGATGATCTGAGATAGGTACAGAGGTTTGCTGCAGGTGACCCATGAGGTGACCGGCATTGCTTCCTGCTTTCCCTAGAGAATACTTTGAAATGCCTTTAATATGCTTCAGAAGAAAATGTTGACCTTTGTTTAACTGTGCGGTGAACGTAGCCCCATTTGTCGAACTAAAGGACTCCAGAGTTCCATGCCAGAAACAGCAATTACGTAATCAAGTAGCAATTACTCTCAACACGGTGGGTAGGGACTAAATTTGTCTGTAAAATAAAAACAAGGAACCAGAATGGGCCTGTGTGCGTCCTCTTACGTCTCCCGTGTGAGCAGAGGGATTTAGGAACGGACGCGTCGCGAGGACCAGATCGCGTTTGGTGTTGCGCAAGGCTCCAGCATTCGTGATGACGTGACGTCATGGGAAAAGCGTGCCGCTGAGCCGGGCCCAGGCTCGAGCCCGAGGAGACGAAACCGGCGTCTCACGAAGACGAGTCCGGATACGCGGAGCCGGTCGAAGTCAGACAGCAGCGCGTGAGCGGATCTTTAAACAATTTTATATTAATTAAAATGTAAAAATATTACCCTGCATAATTAACAGCTAAAGTTATATATAATGCAACGTTTGTTCCACCTAGTAAAGCCATAAGAGACGAGTCGTCATTAAAAATGTAACTTAATTAAAATTTCAAAGCTAATTTTTTTCCTTGCGTTTTTTTTTGCCCACATCGTTCTTTTAGAAAAAAAAGTTTTTGAAGTTTTTCTCTCTCTCTGTGGCTCAACATACACAGACATATGAGCAAGATTCAAAAGACTCTTGAGGGTGACCCCACAGTGACCCTCCTGGTGTAATGAATCACAAGCAGAACTCTGTGTTATCACCCCATTAATGAATTTCAGTCCTCACTAACGCTATCTCAAAGAGTGCCATTGTGCCCCTGATTGGCCATGTTAACGCTCTGCATCCCTGAATGACTGGGGGTGAGGCCCCGCATGGGCCAGCTGAGTGACCAGCACTCGCACTCCTGCTTGTTCACTCACTCAGACACGTGGGGTGGACAGAACACTTGTAAATATTTATTTAAACGCACCTTCCTTGATGTTCGGGCTGTCTCCGTGTTGGGTGGGGGGCGGGGGGGGGGGGGGTGGGGGGGGGGGGGGGTGGGGGGGGGGGGGGGGTTGGG